AACACGTTCTTTCTTCCTATGCTGGTTTGTTATTCTAATCGAGAATAAAACAATGTTTATACGGCTCATCTACTCCTTCAACTCCTCTTACTCAGGGACGGACACGACTATAGTTTCGCGCTCGAAAGAAATTCTCCGTACATTCGATCCAGTGGTCAAAGACACTCTCCGAGAAGAAATAAAGAAAGAAGGCTTGCGCCTGCTTACGGACGCAAAAGTCACTTCTGTCACTAGGGATCAACCATCGGGACCGCTCAAAGTCGAATTCAATTCAAATGAAACTGGACGATCAGTGGAGGACTTTGACATATTAATTTGGGCAATTGGGCGAAGGCCGAATATCGACGATTTAAATTTAGAGGCCGCAGGAGTTACGTTAGCCGAAGGCCACATTCTTGTGGACGAATATCAAAATACGGTTGTGCCGAATGTTTATGCGCTTGGTGATGTTTGCGGTAAAGCACAGTTGACACCAGGTAAGAGATAAGAGGACGCACCATCACGTATTATTCCGTTGGCAAACGTATCAGGCAGAGGTACGTTTTTGCTTACCTGTCAAATACCATATTTTTACTCTTCCTTCCTTTTTTCCCTACCCTTCCAGTTGCCATTGCTGCCGGACGCTGCCTAGCCAATCGACTCTTTGGTCCGCCTAACTTTAGAGACGCCAAACTCGACTATAGCAATATTCCAACCGTTGTATTCCATGGCACTTGTGGTACTGTCGGATTGACAGAACCTCAAGCTCGTGAAAACGCAAACTTTACCAATGTCAAAATATATACATCCAGATTCACCAATATGTACTATGCTATGACGGAGAGAAGTGAGTGTTTTGCTGTTGAAATTGAGGATGTATATGTTGCAATAACAGCGGGGTTTGATGTGACGCTCATGGCTAACTTTGATACACGATGTAATATGTAGAGCAGGTCACTTCATACAAATTAGTTGTCGCTGATAAAATAGACGAATCCGGAAACGTTGTCAAGCAGGAACAAGTAGTGGGGCTTCATATAATTGGCCGTGATTCAGCAGAGATTGTGAGTTGCATTCAGAATGTGGCGACGCGTTCTTGCAGTACGTGATATCGATAACTAACCAACTTTTGTTATCAGCTCCAAGGTTTTGCAGTTGCAGTGAAAATGGGTGCTACAAAGTCACAATTTGATGAGACAGTTGCATTGCATCCTACCGCTGCCGAGGAGTTGGTGAGTTCAGTCGAGGGTGTCTGGTTTGATTTGTTTCATCTTCGATGGTTCTGATTCTGATTTGAGCTTTATCTATTTTGTTCAGGTTACTATGCGATAAGCTTTTTATTGAGAACGTTAATTAAAAAACACGTCTTTATTTATTTGAATTGTGTGTCCTTGATTACGAGTGAAACCAATTATACACATAATCGACCATTAAAGTTATTATTTGAATGTGCTAAATTGTTTGTCAATAAATTTGAACTTCATTTGTCAAAAGCACGGACACAATGTCAACGCATTACTAAATAATTATGTTAGAGTGATGCTACTTACTGTATAAGGGTAAAGAATGCGTAATTATAAACTCATAATTTATAGTACAGTCATACATGCCTCGTTTATATCTCCACTTGATGAGATGGCGTAAAGTATTTATTTAAAACGTGACTTATTCTGTGAATGAAGTTTGGTGTTTAGTCTTTTCTACTGACTTATCTAAGCGTTGAATTATATTGCGTATATATTTTCCGTTGTAAATTCTCCCTGTTCTGAATCCTACGCACACAGAACTAATTGTTTCCTCCTCTGCGCGTCCCGACGAAGTGAAGTGGTAATTATGCAGGAACGACGCCAATAAAGGTTCGATTGGAGCGTGGTGTGCTGTTGAAGTTATGATACGCTACATTTGATGGTGGACTTGGCAATCAAGTTGAACTTTACCAAGAATGCATTATCGATCAAGTATAGATTCCATTGATCAGTAACCGTGCTAACATGCTATGTGCTGATTTACGTGTGACGTTATAAAGACAAGAATCACTATTACTTACTGCCACATCCCAAATAGTAGCCCTCAATTAGTTTGGAACGAGCTAAACTTGCTGATAATTTACTACATTGGCTATATCTTTGAAGGAAAAGATAACAAAATTACAAAGATGGTGTTTTAATAACCATTGTTGTCCATTTTTGGGTCAAGTTCATTATGTTAATCACATGATTCTATATCATATAACAACGAACGCAAGTCACAATTTTCTCCAACTTGTCTGTCATGTTTTATAGACTGTTTAGATTCACCGTCGCCGTTGTCTTTGCAATCGCATTCTTGTCAGAGCTTGTTCACGCTGCTTCTCCAATTGAGGAAACTGGTGTTCAATGTTTAGCCTGTTGTCCCATCTTAGCACACAGAATTGCCTCTGAACACCATTCACGCTGCGCATCAATTATACTCAATAATAAGAGTGGCTATAACATAAGATTGGTAGTTTCCAGTCTTGAAGATGGTCGTTGGGTTACATCAGATGATTCTGGTGACATCGATATAGACTGCAGCCCACGGACCGACCTCGCAAATGGTGAATCCGAAGTCTTTTCGAGTGTCACGAGCCATTTTTTGGGTGGAATAAGTGGTTATGCCTTATTTATCATAGACGATAAAGCTTTTACCACTTTTGCCGTAAAATGGAAGGCTCCAACAATTGGTCCTAATGAACATTATGTTAGCGGATTGCCTACGGAAAATTATCATGTTGCGCTCCAATATGGCTTTGACCATACAGTCTTTCAAGTTACAGTTGCGCAAGTTATGCCTCCGCCAGTTCCAACTCCAGATCCGCCAGTTCCAACTCCAGACCCGCCAGTTCCAACTCCAGACCCGCCAATTCCAACTCCAGACCCGCCAGTTCCAGCTCCAGACCCGCCAGTTCCAGCTCCAGATACGCCAGGTCGGGGGGTTATAGTACTATTACTTTTGATTAGCATAGTATGCTTTATCGCACTATGCTGTGTCGCTGGTTCCAAACAAGATAGTACTTTAAGCGAGCGTATCAATTCTCAACCAAAACGATATCTTGCTACATCAATGCCATCTTACCACTCTTCCGACTATTCTAAACAACAACCATCTCGTTCCAACTATAGTAAACAACAACAGCAGCAGCAGCAACAGCAGCAGCAACCTTATTTCAAAAGCCCTCCTCCTCCTCCTTATTCCGGATAAATGAGTCTTGGTGGGTATTAATAATTTTCCAAAAGTAAAAGTTAATCTAGTTTGAGAGAAATATATTTCTTTGTCTCTTTCTGCATACCATCAATTGTAAAATACTGTACACCGTTGATCACTTTGCTTTTAACTTCAGATAAGGTACTATCTGCTGTTTCGTTGCATTAGGATCTTAAACATTCCTAAAAGAGGTCATATGTCGGGCCAGTATATTTGTTGGATCAATACGCGTAGGTAGGGGAAATTTCACTACACTAAACGCATTTATAAAGAATTAAATAATGATTCTGATGTCAATGAAAAATCGAGGGAAAGTTTCGATTTCATATACGCTGATACGAAAAGGCGGTTTGCACTTTTACCAGCGATAGAAAATCTTATCAGAAATAAATTTATGTTTAAACACGGATTTTTATTAGAATATGGAGAAACTATTCTAATTGCAAGGAATTTAACAATTACCGAAATAAATTATAAGATATCGTGCACTATTGCATCGAATATTGTGGTCTTAAGAATAGTATCGTCACTAAATGCCAATATAGCCAAAGTCTTACGTTATGAGCTTTAGTCGTGCCAAAGCAACTCGTGGTTAACTAGACATTTTCAAAAAAATGAAGGACTCCATTCAGTTCGTAATAATTAACACAAAGGCCTTTTACATCTGCTAACGATAATCGTATGAAGATTATCATTAAGGGAAGCTGCAAAAACACAAGCGTTGTTGATGTAATGTCCAGTAGACAGACCATGTGTATGTGTAAACGTGTGTATGCTTTGATCGTCGATGCGCTGTAAGATAAACTCAACAGAAGTGTAACGTGGTTGTCACAAAACAAGTACATAAACGACTATTTACTATGATTGAAAATATGTAAATTGGATATTTTTACCAAATTAATATGATTTAGAAGGATTATGGTGTAGGTGATTATTTTCGGAGGTAAAAATTTTGGGGAGGTGCTTATTTTCGGTAGTGACATCATAACTCATTGTTTTTTTACTGATAATGATTTGGTGATAGAAACATTTAGAAGGATTGTGGTGTAGGTGCTTATTTTCGGTAGTGACATCATAACTCATCGTTTTTTTTACTGATAATGATAGTGAGTTATTTACCTAGATAAGAAGGATAAATTGCTAAAGCGGAGTAGAACGTGACCTGCCGCAAATTATACATACAAATTGTAAATTACTGCGTCGTCATAGTGCGGTAGCCTTACATGGTCATATCATTTTTTCCATCAACAAAACAGTCGTATAATTTCGCGATAGAACGATATTTACAACGGCAAAATGACGTCTCGTCTCTTATCTCTAGAGAGGAATTTTAAGATCGCAGAAAAAAGATTTCGAGTAAAGGAGGAGTAGATGAGCCGTATAAACATTGTTTTATTCTCGATTAGAATAACAAACCAGCATAGGAAGAAAGAACGTGTT